AAAAAAAAAACAAAAAAAAACGCTTAAAAAAAAAAAGAAATGGTCCCGTATCGCGAAGTGTACTAAACTCTCACTCCTAAAAATTTACAAGTGAACCACCTTCCTCCATGATTACCACCTCTACACGTTTCTTTTTACGTTTCCGTTAACATTGATTTTAAAAATAAACATAAATGATTCGTGAATAAAACAAATAATCGTAAGAAGAACTTCCGAATAAAAAAAAAAAAAAAAAAAAATTTTTTTTTTTTTTTTTTATATCATCAAACAGACAGACACTCCGGGAATTGTGTTGCCATACATCTGCCCCTTACGGAAAAATAAAAAAAAAAAATTTTTTTTTTTTTGTACCCTCAGGTACGTGTTTGAGTGAAAAAGAGAGAGAGAGAGAGAGAGAAAGAGAGGCTTCGATTGTGGCAACAAATTTTTTTTTTTTTTTACAGAGGGTTAAAAAAAAATCTTTTTTTTTATTTATTTATTTTTTTTTATTGGTATTTTGAAATTTATATTAAAAGACCGAATGATAAAATATAAGGTTCAGGTTAAAAACCTTTTCAATAGAATTATATGGTCGTCCGGTTGGGGGGGAGGTTTAAAATTATTATTATTATTATAATTTTTTTTTATGAATTTACATTCGGTGTAAAAAAGGAAAAGAAAAACATTTTATTTTTTTATTATTGCAATTTCACTTTGATTTTTTTTTTTTTTTAAATAAAAATTGATTTATTACTTTTAACAAAATGTTTTTCCCTTTTTTTCCTTTTTTCCTTTCCGACATTTCATCCTTTTTTTGGAAAAAAAAAGAAAACCGATTTTAGCAAATAAATAAATAAATAAATTTCAAGTAAAACTTTTTTTTTTTTTTTAAATCAGGAAGATATTTATAAAGTTTTACGTAACGTGAGTTCGATGCTACGTTTATCACAATAATAATAATAATTATAATTTAAATTTATGAAAAAAAATTCGCCTTCTCATATATATACCGACTCGGGGGGTTGGTTCGAATTTTTAGGGATAAACATCATTATTATTATTATTTTTTTTTTAATTATTGGCATAGAGAATTTGATTACCTTGACATGTAGAAGGCCTTAAGACAAATATAATAAAGCCTATTTAAAAAACCCCGATTCATATCAACACACGTTTTTCCTTCTCAAACTCCATTTTGAATTTTACTAAAAAAGAAAACAATAATAATCATACTGATTTTTATTATAATAATTCGTGAGTAAATCTTTAAGATGAATGCCGACCGAGATACCCGCCATTTTTATTTACCTCTTCCCCCTTCCCCCAAAATAAAAAAAAAATTCGTTAATTGAAATAATAATAATAATATAAATATAAACTCATCTTCATCAAACTCATCGTTATGATGTTCGATCATGTGTTTGTTTATATCG